TGTGTTCTTACAACCTACTACACCATTTTTGTCTTCTTTTTGAAATCGGGAAGTAGGTATTTTAAAGTAAAAGCTTGATTTAATTTTTTTTCTGGAAATATATTTTTTTTATTGAAGCCAACCCTGGATGCGGCATCTATTTTATGATGGGCGTAACAGTTGCCTATCATAAACGAATGCGTATACAAAATTTCGTGTCCCTGCTATTTACCGCTGACAAATTGCTCTTACGGAGCCGATCCTGGCAGCAACATCAGGGCACGTTTATGATTAACATGCATTGTCATCGGTTCTGGACCAGCATGCAAAATTTCAGGTCAATCGGATAACGGGAAGTGGGTCAGATTAATTTTACCAAGATTTGTTAACATACATACAATTCAAGTTGAATAAAAGCTTTTAAAAATAAAAAGCAACACTGTAAAACACTGGCGTGTATAGAATTTTGTTTCAGGAAACTATTTGATAACTTTTTTGATAACGATCCATAAAAATGTGTTTAAAACTGTTACTTTTTCCTGTAATTTCGGGAGAACCCTTGGGACCCCCTATAAATTCCGGTGCTTCCAGAAAAGTTGGAAGTAGAAGAAAAACAATACCTGAGTGATGTAAAATAAAATACGAAAAGCAGTATAGTATATGTACTCACAAACTAGCACCCTCTGCAACACTTGATAACTGGAAGATTGCAAATCGAATAGAGTCAATTTGTAGTCCTGAGTATTTCTTGTTTCTCTTCTGATGCTTTCCAGAAGGTGGGTCGCGGCTTCCAATTGGTTCCTCGCACCTTCCAGATCTCCGCTAGCCCAAAGAGCTAACCCCAGTCTGTTCCTTATTTTAGCCTGTACCAAAATTCGAACAGAAATATTCAATTAGATTTTTTCATTAGGATACACACTTCTGTTATCGACAGTAATTCCACGAAACCTCGAAATTTTTTCGCGCAAAACNATTAAACACAAACCTGGGTTCAATTGCATCACTGGTTGCCTGCAGCAGAGGTTGCGCACTGAGCGCTTCTCGCCATAGGCTCAATTGATCCATTCCTACTTCGAGGTTTATACCAGCCGTGCGCAATTGTAACATGGCTATTAACACAACCTTCTTAACGTATCGGTCCAGAGGGGACAGACCCGCGATTAATTCCTTTGCCGTGGTTGGTGTAGTTCTCATGGCTCCTGTGATGTTTAAACAATCCAATCGTTGTATTTGATATAATTTTTGAATGGCCGTTGCTTGTAGAACTTTCGGGGGGAAATCAATACCCCTTGATCCCCCCTGGCTACGGCTTTGCTAGAAGCATTTGAAATCAGCCTTGCAAGATTCCTAGAGGGAAACCAGGAAACATGTATTTTTCCCCTATCTACGATAAGGCTCGAGTCTCTATGTAATAGTTGTTTATGGATGTTTATGAGTGTCTTTCCAGCAGGAAGGTTATTGCGATACTTCACTCACTTCATTAGTGATTTTTGTATAGCCAATACTATTCGTATCTCATTAAGACAGTGTTATTTGATGGTCAGCAGCAAGCATTCACATACATTTTGCTGCACAATGAACATAAAAAGCCTTTGTCCGTCCGACAGTTTTACATGTGCTATCTCGTGGACTTGATCGAAGCTACATTCGTCATTCATGATTCCGATTCATGAACTGACTGGATGGCCTTGCTCTTCTGTAAGAATATCATGACTCTCTGTAGCCAGTTCAATCTGTTACTGTGGTTAAGTAGACTCATCTTGGAGATAATCAGTTCTGTAATGTCCACTGATGACATGACCAGATTTTCCACTTCAGCCATAGCAACAGGTGACATACAGTGTGTCCAAGAAAAGGATCCTAAGCATGGGAATCTCAGTACCTGTTGGAGATACAGCTTAGGTTAAATTAGGAAAAAGTTGTGTTTTTTAAATCTTATTTACATGCCGTTTAGAAACTTGAAGAATTTTCATGGCCTGCTGAGATATTTGGGAATAACGAGAATTTGACAATATCAATTTTATTTTTTTCTGACTTTATTTGAAAAGATANACTGATGAAGAATTTGTTTGTGTTTTGGATTTGAACATAAACACAGTACAGTTAGAACTAAATCTGCAGAGTTAGTCTGTTAAGAAGCTACGAAAGTGAATATAGCTGCTTTAGGTTACAAGATTATGATAACATAGAAAATGTGTAGCCCAAATGAAGGCTTCTGGCAGGTCTTCAAAATCAACAGAATAACTACGAAGGTGGGTAGGTAGGTCTTAAGCGACTGGATCTGTTCGACCTTCAACTGTAACAAGCGAGCGTTATTTGTGGCTGAGACCTAATCAAACTTGACCAAATGAATCCAACTTCTTAACAAACTCGATCACTTCATTTGGTGAGTGATATTTCAGGTCAGCTGGTAAGAGTTGATCTCTGCCAAACGCTGAAAATCTGACTACGTGGCACAGACTACATGGTCTGCTTCCAGAGTCTGAATTTTCTAATAGAAAATAATCCCCTCCAAGAATTCAGACCAGGTTATTTGCAGGATCTGCTCAATGGAAGATTATTTTCTCTCCTGATGTAGATTCTGCTCGTGCTACTCAGAAATTCATTGCAAAGCCACTTGGCTGCACTACCTAGCTCCATCTCCTTTGTGAACTCTTTCTCTTGATCCTTTGTGACAGGAAGAACAGTTGTGGTCATTCACTAGACATCCGTCTCCTCTGTTGACTCAACTTATTTGCAGAATTTGCTTGGTGAGAGACTGCTTCCTCTCATGTTGCAAATTATATTCCTGCCGCTACAAAATTTAGGACAAGTCAGTGTCATAAAATTGAACTTAGGAGTTCATAATCCAATGCTACAGGGATAACAATTGCGGTCGTTTGAACTCATCTCCGCTTTGAACTCAGCTCAAAAGCCGGAGAATTAGGACAATCTTTCTCTTGATTCTTTGTTACAAAAAGAATTGTTGGTATCGTTTATTTGATATCTATATCCTCTATAGAATTAGATTCGGGATTTTGGTTACTTCGTGGTCCATAATGGAGTCCCACGAGTAGCTAGGAAAAGAAGGTCAATCACGGTTGAGTCCCGCATTATGATCACAAGGCTTTCTGCGACTACAAGACGCCCTATATGAGATACCACACCTGACAGAGGTAATCTATAGCTCCCGCGTAGGTACCTATAGATCAAAACTGTAAAAGACAAGTAATGAAACACAATAAAAGTGGTATGAAAATTGCATTCACTAATCAGATAGTTGAATGGTCATATTTGCCTGATATGGAAATGTTATACCATATTCAAAGAAATTAAACCAAATTTTGTGCAATATCAACTGAAAGTGGGTAGTACTTATGAAAGTTCAATGTTGAAAGCCTTGAAAAGCTAAATAATACCAAAAGTAGCATCTCTCGTGGAAGCAACATCAAAACCAATTCGAGTCATAAATTACTACAACTATTGGCCCAATAATGGCCTACAAAAAGAACAGTAGGCAGCAGAATGAAGAAGTTGAGGAGTCTCCCAACATGGAGGAAGAAGTTTTCTCTTTGGAGACTGACAGGAGCAGATCCAGGGAAAGTACACCATTCTTCGAAGACTCTGATAGACTAGAAGTAGAATCACTGAACGAAACCCATTCTGTACTTCTAGGTTTAATAGAAGATCAGGCATCTAGATCAATGCAGGAAGGGACGGCGGAGGAGTCTCCTAACATCCAGTAATGCCACTAAAAATAATACAAATTAACGTGGACAGAAGGGGGGCAGCCCAAAAATTGCTAGCAAAAATCACAGAGGAAGAAGGAGTAGACATTGCCCTGGTCCAAGAGCCAAACGTCCGGATAACATCTAACAATCCACGGTGGATACTCGACTCGACAAATATCTGTGCGGTATTCTGCGCTAACTCGGGCTGCGGCGTGGTAACACCGGTGAAGGGGCAGGGCTTTGTCTGCATCAAATTCGAAGATTGGGCATTATATAGTTGCTACATATCCCCCAATACCTCGCTAGAAGTATACAAGGAAAGGCTACACCTTATTTTGGATCACGTGGTGGACTCAAAGACCGAAGCGACAGTTGCGGGAGACTTCAATGCCAAATCGCCTTCCTGGAATTCACCATTAACAGATGCCAGAGGCACATATATGGACGAAGCGCTGCAAGCTCTGGACATGGTAGTCCTAAACGAGGGGAGTACCCCGACTTTCACTAGGGGAGCAACGACATCGTACATAGACGTAACCTTTGCCACGCAGACGGCTAGCAGATTGGTGCATTCGTGGAGGGTATCCACAGGGGAAAGCCTTAGCCTACATAGGCATATATTCTATGACATCGACAAAGGAAATGAGACACCGAAGAGAGAATGGGTTGAAAGGCCTCGCCCGCAGGCAGATGTATTTAGAGACGTCATTCGGATAGCCGCTAGGGGTGTAAAAGACGCAAAGAGCCTCGTCAAGGTAATCAAAGAGACACAGGATCTGAGTACGGTGGCGATACAGGTTGGTCCCAACAGGTTGCAGCCAGTATGGTGGAACGAGGAGCTAGAGGTAGAGACATGGATCAAACCACGATCGAAGGTCTAGAGGCAAGATATAAAAGCGGCAGGAAGGAATTAAAAACTGCAATTAGGAGAGCACAAAGGAGAAAATGAGAGGAGCTATGCAGTGAGTTGGAAGAAGACCCCTGGGGGAGAGGATATCAAATAGTCACAGGGTCGATGAGACATCTTAGGACCCCGTCCTAAGATTGGGAAATATTTATTATTTATTGTTATTTCATTTTTTTTATCAATTCATATATTCCTTCATATACATTTTCACAATCGATGCATATTAACATCAACATTTGTTCAATACTTTTAACCTGTATACTATATCAGTTGTATGGAATGGACTTCTAATATGAATCTTCATGTAGCTCCTTAAAGAGGTAGACGGCCATCAGGTTTACTCCGTAGTGATTTCATTCAAACTTTTGGTACTGTCATTTGTTTCATGAGACGATTTGATGAAATCATTCATTCAGTTTGACTTCGGTTAGTACAAACATCGCTACATCGCGATAAGATTTTGTAGAGGCTTGCTGATAAAAACAATAACATTGAGACAAATGACGCCATCTTACCTGTAGGACCACAGGTGGACTGGGTGTGAATGCCGCGTCAGACTCTCCACCACCGGGTCTTGCTAAAGTGGCGCTCCTCCTGAGCTTGCTATCCAAGGTTAATTTTCCATCAGGTGGGTTTGACGTTCGACCATCTGGTTCACCTCTCCGCCTAACATACGAGGTAAACGCTCCCCCAAACTTCGTGGTTGGTAATACTGTCCTGGAAAATGGTGGAGGGATGCGCAGTACAGGTTTGGGAGTGGGACACATGTTGAGTTCGTTATCAGAATGGGAGAAATCGTTATCTACAGATGCCAGGGATTCTAGACTGCTCGATGAATCGATTGTCAGGCTTTTTGGAGCTTCGTGGGTATCTGGAATTATAACACAAGATCAGTTGTGAGTTGAAAATTTCAGATTTCAAGTTAGCGAGTAGACAGAAATTATATCAATAATCAAACGTGTTCGCATTATCAACTGTTTTCTTTGGTTGATCATTTCATCAAGGTAAGGAAATATTTTTCTGTCAATTTTTTCTANCTATTCGCAACAGGTCATCAAAGTACCGAATAAAAATTCGAGGAAAGATGAAATACAAAGTTTTTTAATGGATAACAATTTGTATTTTGAAGATTACTATACCAAAAACCAATTACTTGAGGTTTTACAGACAAACAAACACATTTGAAACTTGAAAGTATTACTGAAAAGTATGGAAACACCATACTAAAACTTTATCCCTATTTTTCTGGGTTTCAATTCCATCGAGTTGGTTTGGGAAAAATAAAAACAAAGCCTCAGGCGTAAAAATAATTTTCCAAAATTTGATAAGAAGGTAGTAGAGAAGTATCTGATATTACCGAAAAAGACTGTCAGAAAAAGATTTGAAAAAGTGATTTTAGTTAAAAAAAACTATATGCATGAAGATTGGAGACTTTTAAAGTGTAAGAGGTGGCAAATGTTATGAACATGTCAAAAGAATGTGTTTGTCACATACTAAATATTTGAATGAACATTTCCAACGCTCTGTTGACGCAGTTTAGACACAATAAATCCGCTGATTTGGCGCTGATTAATCTCTGTAGATGAAACTTGGATACACCATTATACACCCGAAACAAAAATACAGTCCCAACAGTTGACTGCAAAGGGGGAACAGGCCCCAAAAAAAAACAAAAACTGTTTTTTTGGATTTTTCTTGAAGAGTACTTCGACCATACCACTAAAGATGACTACCGCAGTTGCAGTGGAAAGTTTGGAGATTATAACCAAAGAAGGACACAGCAAAACCCGGAAACCAACCAAAACATTCATATTATTATTTTCATCAATGTCAATTTTTCAATTTTCAATATATGCAGTATTTTTCAATTACTCACCGAATAAAGCAAGCAACGCTTGTAAAGTGAACTGGATATTTCTTCTGTTCGCTTGTTTTCCCGTTCTCAAAGTAACTTTGTCTTGACCAACGTCGATCAAATCGAACCCTAAGGATGCTAGAAGTTCGTGACAGCCTGGCACCCTCCACAATCTGGAAATTATCAACAACTTCAGAAGTGTCTCAGAAATAATTTTCCACGTACCTGACATTCAGTGGTACATCGACATTGTCATTATCCAAACCCTTCGACGAGAATTGCGTTAAAGCAGTTTGAATGACCGCAATAATATCATCAGCGACGTCGGAGTTTGATGTTAGTTTGGATAAGGCGTATATTGAGGTACTGCTCAACCCTGAAAAATTTTCTTATTGCAGATATAAATGAGAATAATTGTTTTGATATTACCCAGCAGAGCTTGGAGGCTAGCAGAACATTGAGTCAGTCGTTCGTCTGGATCAGATTGAGGGAAGAACACACTGCTAGGTATACCATTTGAAGCCGGTTCGAATCTGAAGCCTACAGCCATTAGAAGCTCCTTCCACCCAGTCACTGGTCCAACCTGTTCCCAAAAAAATTGTCATACCTTACAAAAATATTGTAGCAAAAATGAACCCTAACGAGGAGGTAATCTTCTGAACCCATGTAAGAGCGCTGCTACTACACGCCCGTTTGAGGTGAGGTTCTGAATTCATTCATCTTATAATAATAACGTTTATTCTCCAAATAAACAACATAACTGAGGACGAACAAAAGAAGATGATTCAGCATTGGAATAGTAAGTTTTTTGGAGAAATGACCTCACACTAATGGGTTTGAGTATGTATATGTGATAAAATCAACCAAAAGTCACATATCTACTGAAGAATATCAATACACTTCCCTCACCTTATTTTCAATGGACTTCTGAGTGGTATACATAGCATTTTTCTGGCCTCGGTGAATTCTCTGCAAACTCTTCTCAACCAGATGGAGGGTAACCCGAAGAGCATCTCTGCATTTTTCAGGGACCTGTAGAAGTTCACAAAGAGCTTGTCCCACTAGCGCCACCTTGTTGGAAAGACGGACATTCAAACCGACGAGGACAAATCCTGCCCAATTTGCAGGATGGGCAAAGTGTTTGGTATGTTGAACGGTTTGCATGGCCTCTGATAAAGCCCTGGAGGAGACATCAACAAAACATTATTATGGATTTGTGGTACTAACTTTCCACAGAAGATCAAGAAGATGTGAATGAGTCTAGAGTCTTAAAATTACAAAATTTTCATTCACTGAATACTCACCTGGCAGCTCTGGTACCCTGCAACAATGACGAATAAAATGCCCTGAGTAGAATTTTGGTCGCAGTGTCTGGTACGGGCCACAAGGAAATGAGAACTGCTTGAGCTCCGGCTGATAAGAGAGATCTCACAAGTGCCACCAAACCGTCAGAAGTTGCCCAACCTTGTTGATCTCTTGTGTGTGATGAACTCACCTGTTGAAATTCAATTTGAAATTTCAGAGAAACATATTCTTAAAATTATGACAGCATGAAAACAGTAGATACTTGAGGAATTTACTTCTGATCAAATATGAGGTTATTATAAACTATAGTCTACGAAAAACCTAGGAAGATTGAGAATGTCACTCTCGCCTATTGATGAATGGAAATTTTATCAGATCTCGTTTCGACAGATTTAACATGTAAAGCTCTCATTTTTCTTTAACATAAGTTATAATTTAGTCTAATACATTTGATAGTAAGACTGTCATAGCCTACATTCCCACCTCACTCATCTAATCATAAAAAAACTAATTCATCATGTAAAAAAATCCTCAGTGGAAATTCAAAAGGTTCAAGACGAGATCTTGGCGAGGGAATAAGGAAAACTTTCAAAAGTTGAAAGAGATCCGATAGAAATCCTCCAATACTACCAATTTCCTGTAGACATGGTAAACATCTAGAAGCCAAGACCGTAGCCAGAAAACAATTTCGGGGGGGGTTTAGTTTGGTGGAACAGTAGAAAAACATGAAATATTTTATTACTATACATAATATATTGGTACTGTGAAATATAAAAACCCGTACAGTTAATCAAACCCTCCTAATTACTGGGACAACTGACAAAGCATTGCTACACCTCGCATGATCCAGTGTGCCTGCGGCTGGGAGGATGGCAGAGTCATGGCAATTACAAAATTCGTCGAATGTCCTATGGTAGATAAAACGCCTCTCCTTTCAGACGTTTTGTACACCGGACACGTATACGTTTTTTTCGGGAGGAGATCGTCTCTCTTCACTGGTTTTAACCATAAATATGGTACAATATCGTATAAAACCTTCGGAAGGGATTCGTCCAACTCCATTATATCATAATTCCATCGAGCACCGTCTAAAAACAATCCATAGTCGTAGACACCATCTGCAGGAGGTTCGGTGAATTTAGATCTAGATTGAACCTCATAATCGAAAGTCAGGAGATCGATAGGAATCGTATATTTTCTGGCATAGTTTTGTTGTGCACCTGTTAAGAAAGCTTGTGTGAAGAAAAATCCTGATAGCCAAAAGGTGGGGGCGCTCCTTCATCCATCCATTAGTGTAAAAAGGCCAATCTAGCCAGAAAATCATTGACATAACTTCCCAGAGGTTTCATAGAAGGATAAGATCGTTTTGCCCACATATGCGGTATTTTTCCTGTGACAACTTCTTCCAGCTCCACTGACATAACAATCTGACCTTTAATGCCTTTTTGAACGTTCTTCAAGCTGGTCCTAATGGCAGTTAACAAAACGTTGAAACGAGTCATTTCCTGAACCAAAACGGTGTTCATACTCTGCGTGTACGATACGGGGTACTTCTCCATAGCGGCATCACGGTCAAAGTTTGGTGGCAACTTCGCCAAAATATCTGAAGAAACCTCCATCACCACGTCGTCGGGAGATTTGGCGGAGTCACTGGTTGACATAGCATCCTGAGTGAGCAGAGTGTTGGCAAACAGTAAACTAGTTTCTTGCTGGTCCTTCATGATGTCTGCGTTTTCGTGCATCCCGAAAACTTCCGGATGGGTAATCAAAGGAAGAGACCTCGTATAGTTCATGAATTCTTCGTATTCCGTCTTGTCCGGGCAATAGTAAACTCATGTGGGATCGAAGAGATAATTTGGGATTTCCACCAGTTCTCTGCAATAAAACTTTCTGAGTATCGTCGAGAGAGTTCGACGGTCCCAGTCGTCCGTCACTCGGCCACCGTAGTTGCACTCTCCTGTTAAATAGAGCAAAGCATCATACTGGATATCCTCATACTCATTCAAGAACATGAAATATAAAAATGACTAAAGAAAGAAAATGGTGTTACATGAAAATATATATATTTACTATAAAACCATTACACGAATATTACCATCTTTTTACAAAATCATATTTAGTTTTCTAGCTCTCTTTGCAGCAAACAAATCAATTACCTTCTCGGAGTCGATGTCAATTCTACGGTGGGTTGACATTAACGCCAAACCGTTTAGTCGTTCCTGTCTTGTGGAGTTTCTTAAATAAGTTTTAAGGCGTTTCAGAGAAGGAAGGTCCTTTCAGGGATACATGTGGAAACAGGTAGAGTCGCCAAGATCTTTAAAAGTTTGTACGTTATCCTTTGATTCCATCCCATTTCTTTAGGGATTGAGCATGGATGTAATGTTTGGCTGATTCCGCAATTGTCTAAGTCATCAGGCCGTATGTGCCACTGAGTCCTAAAAGTCTTAGTCCAGCCGCTTCCTTGGCTAAAAAGTCAGCAATACGATTACCTTTACTCCTGTCGTGCCCTTTAATCCACCTCAGGATAAAGTTATTATCTACCGAGGCTTTGGCTAAATCTTGGTGGCACTCTGTGGCACTCTATTACTAGCCCTGAGGTAACACGTGGTCTGTTCAAGGTTAATAGGGCTTGTCTGCTATCAGTGCAGATTGTAATGTTTTTGTGGTAATTGAGATACCAGCCAGTTCTGTTTGAACCACGCTTGTATTTTTTCCCATTCCTCACTTAATCCTTAGGCTGAGTACATGTCACATCCTGAGCCTTCTTTGGTTTTTGAGCCGTCTGTATATATGCATATTGCATTTGTAGCATCTGACTTTGTGTTCTCTTTTATTTGTATTTTGTAGGGTTTATTAAACACAAACCTGGGTTCAATTGCATCACTGGTTGCCTGCAGCAGAGGTTGCGCAGTGAGCGCTTCTCGCCATAGGCTCAGCCTCAATTGATCCATTCCTACTTCGAGGTTTACACCAGCCGTGCGTAATCGTAACATGGCCATTAACACAATCTTCTTAACGTAGAGGTCCAGAGGGGACAGACCAGTAATGAATTCCTTTGCCGCGGTTGGTGTTGTTCTCATGGCTCCTGTGATGTTTAAACAAGCCAATCCTTGTATTTAATATAATTTTTGGATGGCCGTTGCTTGTAGAACTTTCGGGGGGAAATGAATACCCCTTGATCCCTCCTGGCTACGGCTTTGCTAGAAGCATTTGAAATCAGCCTTGCAAGATTCCTAGAGGGAAACCAGGAAACATGTATTTTTCCCCTATCTACGATAAGGCTCGAGTCTCTATGTAATAGTTGTTTATGGATGTTTATGAGTGTCTTTCCAGCAGGAAGGTTATTGCGATACTTCACTCACTTCATTAGTGATTTTTATATAGCCAATACTATTCGTATCTCATCAAGACAGTGTTATTTGATGGTCAGCAGCAAGTATTTACATACATTTTGCTGCACAATGGACATAAAAAGCCTTTGTCCATCCGACAGTTTTACATGTGCTATCTCGCGGACTTGATCGAAGCTATATTCGTCATTCATGATTCCAAATCATGAACTGACTGGACGGCCTTGCTCTTCTGTAAGAATATCATGACTCTCTGTAGCCAGTTCTATCTGTTACTGTGGTTCAGTAGACTTATCTTGGAGATAATTAGTTCTGTATGTTCACTGATGACATGACCAGATTTTCCACTTCAGCCATGGCAACAGGTGACATATATGCCACTTCCATAATTCCTTCAGATTACTCAGAAGGAACGGCTATACTTTTCATTTCTTTTGGCCACTCAACGCGTTTGACTGAAAACGGTTTTTTCTCCAGACATGACTGCCTCATTTGAACATTGCTCAACATCTTCCAGTGGTATGGAAAATTATATGAGGAAGAAAAGGAGTCGCAAGTCTAATGGAACATTTGAACATTAGCCAGTGCGACGCTTCTGCTGGCTACGACATGTTGATGAAACCTTCGTGGTTTCGAGTCACAAGTAAGATGAATTAGCAACATTTCTGTGACATTAGAATTCTTGGAATCCGAGAGTTTATTTAACAACAGAAAAAGAAGAGGGTGAAAGAGTCACTTTTCTGGACCAGGGAAACTACCTCATACGAACCGATATTTCAATATGCACTACAATCATCATCCGCGACAGAAAAGGAGGGTTATTGAGACTCTGGTAGAGCAAGATGTAACGCTGAAGCGACCTACAATTGCGGAACTAGCCAAACGTCACACCCATGCTCAATCCCTGAAGAGATGGAATGGAATCAAAGGAAGCAGTCTTGCCAGGATCACCCTGAGCGACCCTGTGAAGCTGGCGCCGAAGAAATATCTAGACGATGACCAGGCAAAACCTACGCTCAACAGTAGGATTTCTGACTGGTCACTGTCAACTAAGGAAACACCTTCATATTATGGGGCTTGTTAACACACCTCTATACAGGATGTGTGAACAGGAAGATGAAACTGTCAGGCACGTCCTATGCGAGTGTCTGGAGTTATCATCAATAAGAGAGTGTGTGTTCGGCGAGTCTTGGCCTACACCTGCCGATATAAAGGAAATGTCTCCCAGAGACCTGTCCATCTTTCTGTAAAGGACAGTATGAACGATGACCTAGGAGGTCAACTCTTCGGGAGGATGTACAATGGGTCACATGTGGCCTAAGTGCTGTGAGCCTACACTCAACCTTCCTACTCTACAGATACAGAACACTGGAGTGAACGGCCAATGGAATACCTTTTCTATCCTACATAAGCGGTGTGATATATCGAATTGGAGGTATACTTGAAAACCATGAATCGACAGTTGCAGAACATGCTCTCTAGAGCAGTCATAAAATTATTCAGAGAGGCTGTAAAAATACATAAACATAAGAATACTTCCAAACGTGAGGAAGAGGGCTCAAACATCAACAAGACATGGATACCGGCACTTCATAACAAAAAATTCTTCCACTAATTGAGGAAGGGCCGGACCAATCAAGAAAATTCGACACCTAGTCCCTTCATAAGTACTTCGACTGCTGCCGCGTCGCCTTCGATGATGTCTGCCGCAGTAGCAGACGAAACGTCAGGTATGAAAACCTACAGACCATGGCATACAAACATGGAAACATCGGTTGACAAATCATCGGTTTGAGCACCACCACTTACTTACTTCTAACCCTTTTTTCAAAAGGGTGTTTATGGTCTTCTCCTTAATTAGTGTTACCAAGTGCTACCAGGTTGTTAAGCTACCTAGAATCGGCATTGGAGAGAGGTTTGTGCTCTTCTTTCGGGGATGATAATTCAGTGGAGGAACACGGAATCGTATTTCGATGGAATATATATTTTTTTAAATTATAGCCACAAGACTAAACTCAATGTATATGGCATGATAGCCTGGGAATAAATACAAAGAAAATGTGATTAATGGTAGAACTGGAATTTCTGGACTAGAATAACTCAAACTATCAGATCTGCAAAACGCTTCTCGACGGACGCTTCATTAACCTAGTTGACGTTTACATCTTCTGAAGTAGGCTACTACATCTTCTGAAGACACTAACTTGGTTGGTGAAACGCGAGTCGAGAAGAGTGTTTCAGTTCTAGTGTTTCGGAATACTGCTTCTCCGGAAAGTACTTTCAGTTGACAGGTTTCAATTTTCCGAAAGGATATTGATACCATTTCTAAAATAAATAATGTCAGGTTGAGGTACCCCTCCAAAATTTCATCTCTCATTCATGAAATAAACAAATGAAAATGTATAACTTACCACTACCAATCGAGCGGTGAGTCTAAGAGACAAAATGTCTGCAGCACTCAACAAAAATTCAGACAAAGGCGGTACCTCAGCAGAAATTGAAACTTCGTTACTCTCCTCTTCTTCGGCAGTATCTGTTATGTATAACCTTTTGGACTGACTTTGATCTAATACCTATAAAATAATAATTCATTGATTCCTATTTGAATCCCTAGAAAGTAACACTTTTGACAAAAAAGTAGCAGGAATCGATGATTTCAAAAGCCCGATGTTATAGCTAGGTTGGCACAACCGATCTCTATACTCACGCGGAGTTTTAGCGACATCTATCATCTAGTTTGTTCACTATACTCAATATGCTGATTAACCTCAAATGTGTTTTGCGATTTTCATAATGATTTGTCTTAAATTTTGCATTGCACATGGAATTTTGTGCGCCGAAATACTCAAAAGTGTTTGCATAAGAATTACGAATAATACATATTTTGCGTTTCAATGATCAATTTCCGATACTTTTTTGACATGAAGTATATTCCTACAATTTTATTTACAGTCAGATTCTACCAGTATTGATACTTGAGACCAGAGATTGAACAACTGCACCACAGATTTACCTTTGAATGTGACAGAGTTCTTCAAAAACTGTTACATTCACTGTAGTTGATTGAAATTTAGAGCGGAAAACCAAGTTCAATATAGTGACAACTCACCTCTGCAGGACTTAGTACTAAAGAAGATAGCTTCCAAGAGACATGCGTTGCAAAATGAACACATTCCGCCTCTTGGATTTGGTTCAAAACCTGTTCTTTGGTTGCTGAACTACCGACCAGGACTTGAGTTTGCAGGAGCTCTGCAACCATAGTGGCTTCCTGTTCGGCATGAGGTATGTCTTTCCATCCCCAGTGTTCTGTCACAGCACTGGGTAACTTTGGATTCCCAACGATGAGACTCCTAACCTGTATCAGAAAATAGTTGTTTATTCAACTGAGCCGAGAAGTAAAATAGATTTACTGCCGCGGCTAGCCAGAATCATTTTTAATGCATTGTTACGTCCTTCATTGTTATCATCATTGTTGGTATAAATAGTGAAAGCTGAATATTCACTTACTGCTTGATCCTGATCCTGTTTTCGGGTTCTTCCGGATTTTAGGGTACTCAAGTTAGGAACAACGAATAGAGAAAATCTTTCACTGAGATATTCGGAGTTTTCACTGGCTGACCTCAGAACAGGAAAAGGTACTAGGAAAAGGTCGCTTTCCAATACTAAAATTAGTTCCCTTGGTCCTTCTTTAAATGAGGATGCTGTAAAAAATAGGGCATTGCAAATTATACAAGCAAAAAACTAAGGAATCTAAACGGTATATGATAGTTGAAGATTGGAAAATGTTCAAACTCATATTGTTGAATTTGATGAGGAACATAAATTTAACTCACTTTTATTTGGTAGATGTTCTTCGAAGGGCTGGATAAGGAGTGTATACAAGGAATGTAAACAACTCGGCCCTTTCCATGTTTGTCGTCTTCCAATCCTTGTTGAACCTTGTGCACTAGCACTAGATCTGGTACTTCCTAAACAAATTTTAAATGATGTGCTATTGATCAGTTTGGTAAATATGTACTCTATACTAGGATTCTCATTCACATTCGACAAATGGCAGAATGATGAAACAAAACCTATTTGCTAGTGGTATGTTTGAAATGAAAAGTTTTTTTATAGGATATACACATTTTGATGGAGCAATTATCAGATGGAGTCATTGGAAGAACTAACGACAAGCTTACCTTGCAGTGAAGCTACGGATCCACCAACACTCCCCAATGAAAATAGGGAACTCAGCGAATAGTTGCTAGAATTCATCAGATGGTGTCGATTGATCATCCTTGAAAAACCCGTCCTGTCTGAAAGGGTATCTTCTGAATATTGATCCTCGGCTATGGTGGTACAAGGAGACAATTCCAAACCAAGACTATCCCTAACTGAAGTGACCATTTTTTCTAGTATGCCTGATCCAGACATTATGTGGTCGCTGTTTTCTGCATTGTCGTTTTCGGAACATTCCACCAATGATACAGAATGGAATTTCACTATGCCTTGAAAAATACAAGAGTTCAGTCTAGAATTCAGGAGTTCCGCAAGGAACAGTTCAAGCTTCCATATTATTTTTTGTTTACATCAACAGTATATGTTCCATCAGTAACTTTGGGGGGCAACTCATATCATATGCGGGCGATACGGCACAGATATTAGCAGGTACCAGTTGGAAGCAGCTATTTTAAGAATCAGGAAAGGGACTAACAGATATCCAGATATGTCTTAATATTTATAAAAAATTAACGTTTGGGCAGGAATATTGGTAAACCATATTGTAAGACCTCTATTTATTGATCAAAATTTAATGAGGGAACTATATTTGAATATGCTGGAAACTACCGTTGACCCTCTCATCACTGAAATCGTTGAAGCGAATCCTAATGAATTCGATATCGATATTGTATTCCAACAAGATGGAGCACCACCACATTACTTTAGACAAGTAAGAAACTATTTGGATACTATTTTTCCCGGTCGTTGGATTGGCCGACGAGGTCCTACAGAATGGCCAGCCCGCTCGCCAGACTTGACATTAAAGAACTGTCTATACCTATGTATACACGATTTGAATTGTTCCTAACAATAATGATGTGTCGATGATTTACACATTGACACGTTGACAAAAATCGTATATCCACACAGACATCCATTCACTTATTGAAAAAATAAACCCGAGCTACTTCCTGTTTGAATTAAAAAGAGTGGAAGAACTTTGCAGATTGCAATTGATGGATTTCTGAAGGAGCATTTTTTTCTACTGATAGACTAAAAAAAATGTTTTGGTCAAGATATTTCGTGTGTGTCTGTCTCTAAATTCATAAGAAATATGGAGTTTCAATTCTGTTTCATTGAAATCGAGGGATAGAAGGTAGAAAGTTGAAAGGTAAAACTAAAAATATACTTACCCTTTGTAGGTAGAATCAGCCATGCGTACAGGAATCCTGCTGCGATGCTGTAATATAATACAGATGCTCTTTGCCTTATTTTATTTTATATTTTTTAGTTTCAATCGATAGCTTTCGATCAATACGAAAGTCCATCTATAAAACGGAAAGTCCTTCAACAGAAAAACTTGAGGAACGGGGAAAACTATTATTAGGATAAACTATATTCTGTAGAAGTAGGTAGGTACCTACTCCTCCGGCATACCTTATAGAAGAATTAGCTTGTTATATTTCTTAGTCTATTCATTTTATTGATGGAGTCATTATTACATGGCCGAGTCCCAGTTGATTTCGAACAGTCTAATTCTTCTATCAGGAGGCCTTCTATTGATGTGATACTACTTAAAGCCACGTACGCTTGGCCGGCAGCGAAAAACTTTGAACTCAAGTATACAACAGCGTGATCAACCGTACTACCCTGCATTTTATTAACTGTACAAGCCCAGCATGAAACAATCGGCAACATTCTACGTTCAGCTGTACCATGGCTGAATTTAGCTGGAAATTGCACATATTTTGGTTGAATAACGTGGATCACATCTTTGCCAAAGTCGATACGGACTGATGGAATGTCCGTGTCATAGATTTGTGCTCTCTGGAAACAGGGCCATATAATTTCTATTATATGACCGATGACACCATTCACTAGACCCTCAGACACATCAACATTGTATCGCAACATCACCTTGACCCCAACAAATATTTCCAACTCTTTAGGCAACCCCCCAGTCTTGTTTATATCAGATGGTTTAATATTATTTGAATCTATATTATCATTTTTTCTAGTACAATCTATTAGACTATCTTGTGCAATCATTTTATTACAATTCAAATAAATATGGGTTCTTACAACCTACTACACCATTTATTGTCTTCTTTTTAGAATGAGGAAGTAGTTATTTCAAGGTTAAAGCTTGATTAACTTTTTTTTATAGGAATATATTTTTTTATTGAAGCCAACCCTGGATGTGGCATCTATTTCATTGTGGGCCTACCAATGACCTATCATAAACGAATGCATATACAAAATTTCGTGTCCCTGCTATTTACCGCTGAGGAGATCTCTCGTACAGAGCCGATCCTGGCAGCACCATCAGGTCACGTTTATGATTAACATACATTGTCATCGGTTCTGGACCAGCATGCAAAATTTCAGGTCAATCGGATAACGAGAAGTGGATCAGATTAAACTTACCAAGATTTGTTAACATACATACAATTCAAGTTGAATACAAGCTTTTAAAAATAAAAAGAAACACTGTAAAACAGTGGCGTGTATAGAATTTTGTTTCAGGAAACTATTTGATAACTTTTTTGATAACGATCCATAAAAATGTCTTTAAAACTGTTACTTTTTCCTGTAATTTCGGGAGAACCCTTGGGACCCCCTATAAATTCCGGTGCTTCCAGAAAAGTTGGAAGTAGAAGAAAAACAATACCTGAGTGATGTAAAATAAAATACAAAAAGCAGTATAGTATATGTACTCACAAACTAGCACCCTCTGCAACACTTGATAACTGGAAGATTGCAAATCGAATAGAGTCAATTTGTAGTCCTGAGTATTTCTTGTTTCTCTTCTGATGCTTTCCAGAAGGTGGGTCGCGGCTTCCAATTGGTTCCTCGCACCTTCCAGATCTCCGCTAGCCCAAAGAGCTAACCCCAGTCTGTTCCTTATTTTAGCCTGTACCAAAATTCGAACAGAAATATTCAATTAGATTTTTTCATTAGGATACACACTTCTGTTATCGACAGTAATTCCACGAAACCTCGGAATTTTTTCGCGCAAAACAGTGGACTCAGAAAATCAAAAGACGCACATAACTGATGATTTTCATTTTTGACTAGGATTTTGTTGAAGTATACTTAGTGTGAATTTAAAGTATTCAATGACGTAAACCTGAAAAATTTCGCTGTTATGACTATGTTTTCCTTACCTCTTCGTCTCGACGACCTAACGCTTCAGCGATACAAAGTCCTTGTGTCAGATATGTGATAGCTTGACTCCGATTTCCAAGGAGTTGGTGTACTCTGCCCAAAGCACTATAAGCCATTGTTTTTGCCAGTTGGTCATTCGTACTTGCAGCTATCGATAAATGTTGTTCTTGATATCTAACAGCCTGATCAAGTTTTCCAAGAGATTCATAAACAATACCTAAAACGAATGACAAGTTCAAACTTGCATATCATTTGCTATAATTTTTATATTTTACCTAAATTCCCACAGGCTCGGCTTTGCAAACCTGCCATACCTAGTTGTTCCGTTATTTCCAAATCATTTTGATGGTACTCCAGAGCTGTTGTGAACTCCCCCATTTGGTGACACACTGTTCCCAAGCCACATATGGCGTCTGACTCCATCACACGGTCATCTGAAATGAAGATTTATTTTTTTCAAATCCAAAATACAAAACTAAAATTCACTTGAACAAAGTAAGGAATACACAAGATTGAGAGCTTACTCAGTTCTCTGGCGATGTTTCTTTGGTGATCAAGACAGGAAACAGCTTGTTCTAAGTTGCCAAGATTAGCATGTAGTTGCCCCAGCTCCCCGTATGCAGCAGCTTTGGCTTCTGGATGTCCCAACTCATGAGAAACTACCAATCTCTTCTCAAGGCAAACCAAAGCTTGTTGAAGATTCCCAAGCGATTTATGAGACTGACCTAAGGATCAAAATAATTGAGAAATAGTACAATTTTCGGTCACTTGTAGTGAATAACCTAGTCCTCTATAAGCTCTTTCTTGATCTCTCGGGCTCCTCATCTTCATTGCTATAGTTAAGTACTGTTCATGGCACTTGACAGCTTCTTCTGGATCACCCAAAGCTTCGTAGCAGTCACCCAGGCTTCCAAAAGCTCGACCTTTATCAAGCATTGCCACAGAGGAGTTTAACCTCTCAAGGGTTGCAAGTTGCTGTTCGAAATAACCAATAGCATCTTCATAGTGTGCCATATTGAGCCTTAAAAAATGAAAAATGATCTACATCCTGATATCCTATACATTTCTATAATCACTTAGATACAATATAGTTATATCTTCAAAATATCTGAAAACAGTGTCCCACTTCTGATTTTCAATCGATTATAATTTGCAAAATTCACCTCGCTATTCCAAGATTGCCATACGACTGCGCCTCCACAGCGCAATCTTGCAGTTCTTGAGCTCTTTCTAATTGTTCCTGATAACATTTAACTGCATGAGTGTAATTGCCCAATGCCATATGAACAGCTCCTAAATGTCCATGTGCTCTACATTCACCCGACAGCTCCGACATTTCTTGACGTAGTGTCAATTCCTGAGTGTGGTATCCTAAAAAAATTAAATTTAGAGAACATCTTTTCTCAATATGAGACCAAATTGAAACTAACCTAGAGCTTTATCGAATTTTTTTAGCAGTCTATGTGCAATGCCTAGAGCACCACAAGCAGCGGCCTCCATTCCCCTATCTCTGTTACTCCTTGCTAATGCTAATTGTCTATGATACATTTTAACAGCTTCTTCAATCTCTTCCATTTTTATCAGGACATCACCTATATTACCCATGGCTCGGAATTTACCTTGAAAAAATAATGTCGATGTACAAATTTCAAACAATGTTGGTCAACGTTCGTCAGTTGCATACCAGGTGTGTTGTTTGTCATGTGGGCGATAGCCAAGAAATATTTTTGACATTCCAGAGATGTATCTAGCTGACCCAGAGCCAAATGAGCTAAACCTAAATTACAGTATGCTCTTCCCATATTCATTTTATCCTGTAGATCTTTGGCTAGAGCTAAGTCTTGGTCATAGTAACGTACTGCTTCCCTGTAGTTTCCTATACAATAATGTGCATAACCTAGAAAGGACATTGGTCATGTAAGTTGTTTTGAGTAAGAGTTCACTTGCGGATACCTAAGAAGTGGCATGCTTTTGCCTCGCCTTCCACATCAGAAAGTTCTTGTGACAACATCAGATATTGCTCGTAGTAAGGTATAGCCTCAGCAAATTCTGATCTCGAGCTCAAGCAGTTGGCAAGGTTTAATAAAGCGCATGCCTCACCAGCTGTATCTTTCAGTTCTCTAGCAATTCCTACGGAAAATAATATGAACTCCTCTGAATCTTTCAAAATAAATTACCACATACCTAGGTGAGCCCTATAATGTAATAACGCCATGTCATGTGCCCCTAACGCCTGGTAAGCTACAGCTAAATTGCCATGAGTACTGGCTTCGGAACTTCTATCATGCACTTCTTTGCTGATGGTCAGTTCTTGCTTGTGGTACTTGATCGCCGATTCGTAGAACCCAGCAGCAGAGTAGGCATTACCAATGTTACCATAGGCTCTGCCCATTCCAGCTCGGTCCTGAAGGTTCCTAGCTATTGCAAGGTGAGCTTGGTGGAGTTTTAGTGCAGCATCATATTCTCCTATAATATAATCTGTTAGACTCGAAGGTATTTCATACTTTTATGTTTATTTTTCTCAACTGTATATTTCACTTGACATTTTTTTTTCTACATTTTGACGACCATGAGAAGAGAACACATTTTTGGATCTTTGTGAAAAGATTTCAAACTTAGAACTGGAAAAAATTGACGAGAATGCTAGGCTAGCTTGCTGGAGTCAGTATAGAAAGATTCATGAAGGCGACGACACTGACGCTGACAAAAAATTCCAATATCTGCTACAATCCATAGAACTACAAAGAGCAGTTACCCAGGTTGGAGACCAGGATTGCCAGAGACGAATTCCTTATTGACGTATATGTAAGAGAGTATATGGCTCAACTGATCAACTGCCTTGACAAATGGAAAATTGGAAGGTGTAATGTTGGCGATGCGTTTTGTGTAGGATCGGACAATAAGAAGAGACTATAAAACAGAATGGTTATTAAAAATTCCAGGAATTTGTCATAAAAAGTGAAATCAACCAAAAGTAGGAAGCGTGAAGGTAGCTCGAGCTAGAAGACAAATACTACGTCAAGTCCAAAGGTTATTTCCTTCAGAATTCAAACAAGAAGAGGGCTGTCTACAATTTAGATACTCCAGGATGATTATCAAACAATCAAAGCAACTCTTCCGGTATAGAACAAGAAGAAAAAGTCAATTTAGAAATAAAGAGTATTTGGAAGAAAAAACTTGAAGAAGATTCACGAGAAAACCGACGTGATCGATGCGGCGAGTTGTGAAGACTCCCCAGCTCTATGAAATTCAATAATCCTTATCTTCTGGACATTATTCTCCACTTTTATGTTGATTTGTCTTCATTGCCTCTACAGCTGCCAGTAAAGTTGTTTAAATTAGAAAGAGGACCTCGTATCAATACATATTTGTAATAAGTTCGCTTCAAAATGCCTTAGTGCCAACTGTCTCGAGGGTCACCGATTAAATGGCAGTAAATCTCAGATCGTGTATCATTTCACATCCTACCGACTGCGCCATGTGTTATTGAATATATGGACAGGATAGCTAGGATGTGAAATGATACACGATCTCGAGGGTCACCGATAAAACGGCAGTCAAGCACAGATCGTGTATCATTCCACATCCTAGCCATCCTGTTCATATATTCAATAACACAATATTCATTACTAGAAACTTTATTAGTGTTTCATCCAGAAAACTGACTACAACCAATTGAATGTCCTCCTCCATCATATTTGAAGGCTTTGAAGGAATGGTAAAAAAAATGAAATGTAATCTGGAATAGTAATGGTCAACTGAGTGGCCTTTTTCTGTCAGCAACTGACCTAGTAATTGATAGACAATTCCCAAGTTCGAGCATGCTCTTCCTTCTCCAACTTTGTCCCTAGTCGACAGCGCAACATCTAGCTGTCTCTCATGCCACTGTTTTGATTGCATATAGTCTCCTGCACATCTTGCAGCGTGTCCAAGTCCTGCGTAAGCTCTCGCTTCCACTGACCTTCAATAAATAAAAAACATATCATTTCATTGTTTAATAATTATCATACTACTCTCATAGGTACTTACTTATCCCCAATAGCTTGTGCCAAACGTAAAACTTTTTCATGGTAAACGATTGCTTGCGTGAAATTTCTTTTGTAGTGATAACTCGAACCTAAATTGCTATAAGCTCTGGCCTCTTCTACCTATGAAACACAAACATGATTAAAAACAAATGAGTTTATTATATAAAAAATGAGTTACTATACAGTGTGTCTCACTTCTCATGGAAACACCCCTGTATCCTCCGTAATATTCGAGGTAGAAAGATGAAACTCTCAGGACTGATGGAAATGCTCAAAATGCACCTACCACCTGAATGGGGTTGGCCAAAGTGATATACACTGTCCGCCACTCGCGATGGAAC